CAATTCATTCTCGAGTCTATACTATTACTATATTACTTTGAATTACTCTGATATTCTAAATCGCAGGAACCCTAAGCCATAGAACTTTACAGTCATTGCCCACCATCAATAACTTCTCCACCTACGACTATAACGGACATGTCTGCCTCTCTAAACATATGATCTCATTCGAAGATCTAATTTTCCAAAACCTAAAGTAAGCCGAAGAATCTGTGCGCACCAAAAAGCTCGTCTTGGGAAATCGATTCTTCACGTGTTCATCGCTTTCATCCCTCTTTTCTCAGTACTACCATTTAATTGGGTTTTGATTTCACTCAAAATTGATTTATCACTTGGGTGTGTTTTAGCTTGGGTTTGCATCAAGATTGTTGGACGATTTTCTAAAATTGATTTCTCACTTCAACATTCTTTTTTGTCAATCGGTTTTTTGAAATTGATTTTTGGAAATCGATTTGTTTTTGCCTCAAGCCTGTTAGGTGTGCATCAGGTTTGCCTGGGTATTTTTTGGAAAGTTGCACTAGGTTTAAAAATGTTTGATTTGGTTTACATCAGGATTCCTTCAAGTTTTTTTTAGATTTGCTTCAAGTTTGAGTTTTTATAGATCTAATTTTGCTGATATGGGAAGTTTGCATGAAGTTTTATTTTCTTAGTTAATCAAATTTTCAATTTCATGTTCGTTTTGGTTCGAATGAAAATTATTTTGAAGATGAAGTTCTTGATGAACATGATGAAATTCTGATTGAATATTGTTTTGTTCTTGAAATTGGAATTTTGTGTTTATGGAAGATGTTTCCAAATTAAGATCATCTAAGCTCTATGCTTTGAAAAATATTGAAGTGTTGATACAAGTGGAATGTATCCACGTGCACACATGAACAAGTCAAAATAATGTTCAAAATTGGATTTATGATAATTTGCGTAATTCGAAGACAAAGTGCTTAATTTTGGTGTTTCAGTACTTCCTAACACATGGACATTTAAAGAAAATAATATTTTGAAGTTTGATGTGAATTATCAGCATTGATTTGGCATACAGAATTAAAAAAGCACACAAAGAACATGCTGATTTGGGTGTTTAAGAGATGCATTCGATCATGAAAGGTGTTACAAAAAGTATAAGCTAGGTCTATACAAATAAATAGCTCATACTAACACTCTCAATGTTACATCTCTCAAGCACACCTCTACAAGTGGTATGAACCCACCTTATATAGAGGTGTTTACATGTCTCTCTCTCTCTCTCTCTCTCTCTCTCTCTCTCTCTCTATCTCTCATGTCACAAGGCGACTTTACCACATGCAAGCGGGTCTACAAAAGTCAAACCATTTACAAAGTCATACATGGATAACTTTGTACCCAACATTCTCCCCCTCAAAGGTTAGGAATGGATGACCCGCTTCAAATCTTCTAAATTCGAGCCACTTCACAAACCGAGCCTCAAATGTCACACATGTAGAGATGAACTTCAAAGCTTCAATTATTCAATGAATTTTTAATCTGGGATCTTGAATGTGAGACCATACAAACCGAGCATCAAAAGGTAATTAGGAGTTTCTCATTCTCCAAAAAATTATCCAAAATTTGAGCATATATGCACACTCCAAAAATCTTCAATAAGTCCAAACCCATCATAAACCGAAATAACTTCTGAATCTCCAATCGAATCATTTCATAAACTTCAAATACTCGAGGTCACTTCGGTCCTCAAGTCCACATAATATGAAAAATTCAACTTTCGAATTTCCATATCTTAATCTCTCCCCCTTTTATAATTGGAAACTGATTATAAAACTAGAAAGGGAATAAGAAAGTCCTCAATTTGGAATTTTTCTATCCAAACCCCCCCCCCCTAGCACATGGCATAAACATTTTGCTTCAATATGGAAAATACAAAAAATATTCAAATTTTAGCTTCATTCGCGGGCCGCCTTTGACAAAATTTCACAAATTTGGGTAGAAACTGTCAATTTCAAACTTCTACAGTGACCCGGTGCGCCCAAAACAGCCAAAAATGCAAAACACTATCCCATTTGCAAAACTAGGTAGAAAGCGTCAATTCGCAATAACTGCAGGGTCCTGTTTCGAAAATTACCCCATTTCTCAGAATTTTCAGCCCAATTTCAAAGTTGGGTAAATTCTGCCATTTCACACAAACTTTAGGGATTCAAAACAAAACTTCTTCATTCTTCATTATTTTTGTCACCATTTCGAAGTTGGGTATAAACTATTAGTTCTTTGAAAATACAGGGGTGCAATTCGAAACTCTTGGAATTCTTCCCCAACTCGTTTATATCAAAAGCGAATATCAAGCGTTCAACCCATTTCGAAACTTCTCTTTTCATCAACTCAAAACCATCGACCATCAATACTTGGTAATGACTTCGCAATCGATTCCACATAAGGACTCTTGACTCCAATGCTCGGTAACAATCTTCGAACATTATCCTTATGACCTTCGAAATCAGACTACGACCATCATCCCTCGATCACAAATTTTCAATCTTCGACTTACCTTTCATTCCTTGCTTTCATCAAAATACAACATACCATTCCTTTCATTACCAATACCAAACCTTCGAACATCAACTATTATCCTCTTCGCTTTTCATTCACTAACCCAAAATCAATACCATCGATCTTTCAGTTTAAATCAATCGACATTAACTTAACTAACAATCAGCATCCCTTTCGATTCGTTATTAATCCATCTATTAACAAACATTGATTCCTTGACTCCAATCATTCAAATCTTCGACATCAGGATAACGAACAATACAACATTGTTCACTTTCAACCATTCGACTATGGATTTCAATTAACCCAAACCACGCCAAACTCAATATCGACTTCCTAATCGAATTTTCGTTACTCAACAATCGAAATTATCCAAACCTTTGAAGTTGAATCAACAATCAATCACTCAAACTCAATCCCAAGTCGATTTCAGAAGACATTCGACATCCAAATTTAAAATCAACCCAATCATCACCAATTGAACCTGATTTATATATCAAAGGACCCAATCAACCAATTTCTACTCCAAAACTGTTTGTTTTAACTTCAAGACAATCACCCTTCGTTCTCAACGACAAGATTAGTCAAATGAAGTTTGACTCCAAAAAGTCAACTACAAATTAAATCCCTCAAGTCTTCCCAAATGTGAAATGAACACCAACTTCAATCGATTTAGCATTCTCCTTGCAACCATAAACATCGAAACCAACTACTCTTTGAGCAAATTCAGATCAAACACCCATTTTCAAAAATAAAGTCATCTTTGTCATGTTCTTGAGCATTTAAGTTCAAGAATCGATTGATAAATCAGAAAATCAATTTCAAAATCAGTTCAAGAATTGTGAATATGGAAAAGATCGACAAAGAGAAACACAAAATTGCTAATAAGATTAATCGTGAAATTTCCTGATTTTGAGATACGATTTCCAATCGTGCGATTCAAACAAATCGATTGAAACAATTTACCAGACAAGCATATTGACCAAAACAATTAATCATGAAGTAATCGAACAAACAAGTCAGATCTTGATAAATCTAGATGTTGACAAACTTGTGAACAATGACGCAACTATGAATAATATTCACAAAAAAAAAAAAAAAAACAAACAGATTTGTGTCATATAATTGGTTCAGCTGAACAATATTGGATCAAATATATGTTAAGAATGAGCTTGGATTAAACATGAAGATAACATGATTAATTTAGGTTTTAGGCTAATTCTTGATTCAAATGAATTGCAAGTTGAGAATCAAATTGAACAACAAATAGGATTGGATTCGGCTTGATCAATGAAAAAATTATTTGATCATAACAAGTGGGTTTTTTCAAAAAACAAATTGATCCAATGAGTCAAAATGATCAAAAATTCAAGAACGCAAGCACGAATCAAAGAGATTTAGAGAGATCGTCAAGAGACTCACGATAAACGTTTCAATTGTGATGATTGCTGCCAAATCGAGAACCGTTTCTTCAAAAATTACTTCAATCTTTGAAGACCCGCTTTGATACCAATTGATGTGAATTATGAGCATTGATTTGACATGCAGAATTAAAGAACACACAAAGAACATAGTGATTTGGGTGTTTAAGAGATCCATTCGCTCATGAAAGGTGTTACAAAAAAGTATAAGCTAGATCTAGACAAATAAATATCTCATACTAACACTCTCAATGTTACATCTCTCAAGCACACTTCTACAAGTGGTATGAACCCACCTTATATAGAGGTCTTTACATCTCTCGCTCTCTCTCTCTCTCTCTCTCTATATATATATATATATATATATATATATATATATATATATATATATATATATATATATATATATATATATATATATATATCGTGTCACAAGACTACTTTACCACATGCAAGTGGGTCTACAAAAGGCAAACCATTTACAAAATCATACATTGATAACTTTGTACCCAACAAAGTTCCAATTTCATTTGAAGTTTGGTTTTTGGACGTTATCAATGTTTCATTGGAAGTTGAAGTTGAACGAAATTAGTGAATGTTCATAGCATTGAAGTGTTGATAAAATCAAGACAAAACTTCAAAAATGGTCCCTATGGTTTCCAAAAATATCAAGTTTAGTCCCTAAGTTCAAAAAACCTCACAGATGGTCCCTGTGGTTTCAAAACTTTTAACAAATGGTCCTTTTCGCTAACTCCGTTAGCTTTTAACCGTTAAGTGAAGGGCATTTCTGTCTTTTCACTATTACACGGACCATTTTTGAAGTTTTGACCTTATTTAAAAAAAAATGAAAAAAATTATTATTTCATATAGAAAAGGTCTCTCTCTCTCTCTCTCTCTCTCTCTCTCTCTTTGATTCCATTCACATCTTCACTTGCTTCCTCGATCAATCAAAATCCAATTCATATAATCTTTCATACTAATCCCATTTATTGCATCGACTTCTCAATCATGACAATGGTGATAACTTAATACTCCATAAGATTAAGCTTTCGATCATCAAACATCATGGGTATGGAGGGAAACAAACAGACGATCTTGAGCAATTATCAGAAGAACACCACATATAAGAAATCAAACCCTAAACTAACTTTACTACCTCTAATCGCCCTAATTTTCTACGAAGTTTCCAGGGGTCCATTTGGTGTAGAAGATTCAGTCAAATCTGGAGGCGGAGCTCTACTTTCATTACTAGGGTTCTTAATTTTCCCTATTTTCTGGAGCATCCCAAAAGCACTAATCACAACCGAACTCGCCACAAGCTCCCTGAAAACGGCGGTTATGTCATCTGGATATCATCGACGTTCGCCCTTTTTGGGGTTTCCAAGAAGGGTTTTGGAAATGGTTTAGTGGGGTTATGGAAAACGCACTTTATCCTGTATTATTTCTCGATTACTTGAAGCAATCACTCCCAATCTTCGATCAATTATACGCTAGAATTCCAACCCTTTTAGCAATTACTATCTTATTAATTCATCTGAACTACAGAAGTCTTCACATTGTCATATTTTCTGTTGTTCTTCTTGCTTCTTTCTCACTCCCATTTGCAGTCATGGGTATTCTTTCAATCCCCAAAATCAGGCCTAAAAGATGGATAACTTTGGATTTCAAGAAACTTCAATGGAGGGGTTACTTCAATAGCATGTTTTGGAACTTGAATTATTGGGATAAAGTAAGTACATTAGCTGGTGAAGTTGAAAAGCCAAGTAGGACGTTTCCGAAAGCTTGATCTCGAGGCACCAAGGACCGAGAGAGAGAGAGAGAGAGAGAGAGAGAGAGAGAGAGAGAGAGAGAGACCTTTTCTATATTAAATAATATTTTTTTTCTTTTTTTTAAATAAGGGCAAAACTTCAAAAATAGTCCCTGTAATAGTGAAAAGACAGAAATGCCCTTCACTTAATGGTCAAAGGCTAACGGAGTTTGCGAAAAGGACCATTTGTTAAAAGTTTTGAAACCACAGGGACCATCTGTGCGGTTTTTTGAACTTAGGGACTAAACTTGATATTTTCGAAAACCATAGGGACCATTTTTGAAGTTTTGTCTAAAATCAATTATGGACAATATCAAATTTTAGGGATTATACAAGATTATATAAATTAAATAAAAAGTTAAGGGCTAAAGATGTATATTACTTCAAATCACAAGTACCATTTATGTAATTTGATGTGTTTTATGTTTTTATTGGTTCCAAAATTTGTTGTCCTAATTATTCATTTTGTATTAATGCTCTTTTCTCTCTCTCTCTCTTTCTCTTTATATATATATATATATATATATATATATATATATATATATATATATATATATATATATATATATAATTTTGATACAAAATTTCACATGTAAGAAAAATGTAAAAAAATATTGGAAAAAGAATTTGTGTACATATGAACACATGGTTTTCTAAATGTGTGTATATGCACGCACAAAAAATATGAATATGTATCAACAATGCATTTTATTTTTTTAAATAATATTTTATAGATATATACTATATTTTTTCTGAACTAAGAATAAAAATTTATTTAAAGAAAATTCTTTTTTCATTTTTAATTTGGAAAACATCTTCTAAAAGTTTCGAAAATAGCATTACAAAAAAGAATTTTCCAAAAAAACACATTTTTAATGCATATATATATATATATATATATATATATATATATATATATATATATATATATATATATATATATATATATATATATATATTCAATCCCTTAGATGTACATATGCATTTGCATATGTTAAATTTGGAGCCAAAATTATAGATAATAGTTCGTTGATTCTCACCCTCAATTTGATTCTCTAAGGATCTTTTCTCTCTCTCTCTCTCTCTCTATATATATATATATATATATATATATATATATATATATATATATATATATATATATATATATATATATATATATATATAAACACACTCGCCGTTTATCTGCGCCAAGCGACAACTACTAATAACTTTTTTGAAAATTATTTGTAGAGGCGATTAAGGTTGTAAACGAACTAACGTTCAACGAATTGTTCGTGAAACGTTTGACAGAAAGTTCGTTTATTTTGTTTATTTAATAAACAACATTCATTCGTGTTTGTTCGATTTATTACGACCTTAGATGTGGTCATCATTATATTATTGAATGAATAGTTTATACAAGTAACGCGCCAACACCAAGTAATTATGTGACATCCCCAAATTCGCGGTCATTTTAATTTTTTTTTATTTATGCTTATTTAAAAAATCAGAGTACCCTTTTTGAAAAATAGTATTGCAGAATTTGTTTCTCGAAAACATGATAATGGTATTATCAAAGCATTTCTGAATACATGTATTTTATTTATATTAAATGTTGGGATGTTATCGTCAATACAGAAACATAAGAATAAACAGACCTTACATTAATTTACATTAATGATCTACATCTCCTTGAATCGCTGAGCAAAATGTATCTTTAGTATCGCTGCCTGTGATACACTAAACTGAGTGGGTCAGGTTGGAAAATATGGTGAGTATATAGGGATTTCAATCCCACAATGTGATAATAATGTATATCTCAAACCTGCACGTCCAACTATTATGATTAACATAGATATATCTAATGGGTTTTGAGCATTCTAACACTTCTAAGTGTACATGCAACCCTAATAACCTTGGATCTATGTTTGTCTAATAATCACACAAAGTTGTTTTCCAAGGTTATGAACCTATCTAGCATACGTGGGTTACAATTTTCTTTGTATAAAAGATAGAACTACATACCTTGTTGTTGAAAGTGTTTCTTGAAACCTTGTGAGCCTAGCACCTCGAGTGTGATGCCTCAAATGCTTCACACAACACCAAATGCAAAGTATAAACTTGATAGAATACTCTACCACACTCAAAATCGGCCAAGCCCTCTTGTTTCTCTTATGTATCACTAGTGTAGCCGATTTTGGGGAGAGACATGGTCCTTATATAGTGTGTTGCATTAGGTAAAACCCTAATGTAACATGACTCTTCATTTCTCAATCCATGGGTTAACTCCATGGAGCATCCTATGGGTGGAACCCAACTTGATAATCCATGGAGCCTTTTAGCCCACTATATAAGATATGGAAGATTTACATAATCTACCCATATATTTAATTAGTTATTCTTTTGATCACTTAATTAATTCTAAATTAATTCTTAATCAAAACTAATTAAATAATATTATTAATATATTAGAACTTATAATATATTAATAAACCATATGTGTTATTTCTCTCATTTAGTTTATCCAATTGCATGGTGCCATGCAACCCAAATGGATCATGCCGGGTCGGGTCAGGTATTTACCAGAAATAGTTATGGACTTAGACACCTTATCCAACAGTCTCCCACTTGGATAAGTCTAATAACTATAACTGCATTACTTCAGGAACCGATCAACAATCGTAGCTCTTTCAAGGTCTCTCAGAAATGAGAAGATGTTGATACGCCATTTAAGATAAGTGATCATATAATCCTCTGTTCTAGATATCAGCTGGACAAATACATGGAACAATGTCTTACTTATTGTCCAGCAGTTTGTTTCCCGATTTCCGATTTGTTTGACAAAGAACTTAGCTGAACACATCAACTTAGTTCTGACCGGGCCCAGTAGATAGGTCAAAACAAATTCATCGAGGGGCCCATATATCAGCTTCTAATCCAAGAAGGAACAGATAAACTTCGACTAATATGCTTGTTTTACTACTCATTGAATTACACAAAAAATCACATTTTATAACATCGAGTTACCAATGCATTTTCGTACAATCAATGCATAATCAACTCGTAAGTAACAAATCATATCTCTAGGTTTGAAGACTTATATGATATTACCGTCTCACGATCACTCGAGATAAGATTCCATGAAGTGATTCCAGTGAGCGTGGGTTGATTCCAATAATCAGAACTTATGAGCACTCATGATTGTTGTAGCCATGTCCAATACCTTAGACCTCTGCAACCAATCATGACAGTCTTAATTCATACCTACTTACGACATATGACCAACTGTGGAGGTTCGAATAATATGATATACCAAACATAATTATTCTGGAAGTCAAAACATGAAAAAGCAATATAGTAAACGATTGACAAAAGATAGTAACACTTTACTCATAAATAACCACAACTTTTATTCATCATAAAATGTCAATTACACTTTACAAATTTCATAATTTATCTAACTACTAAAACTTATATCATCCTTCAGCCCTATGCTCCGAGCATGCTGGGGATGCTTAACCCTACTCAGTCCTTTCGTGAGGGGATCTGCTAGGTTCTCATCCGATGATACCCTCTTTGCCACGAGGATTCCTTCTTCTATGCGATGTCTGATAAAATGATATTTTCTGTCGATGTGTCTGGATCTTCTGTGATTCCTTGGTTCCTTGGCTAAGGCAACAACACTTTCAGTATCATAGAAAATTTCCATGGGCTCCTTTATAGCTGGTACAACTCCAAGGTCTCCAATGAAGTTCTTTAGCCATATTGCCTACTTTGCTGCCTCGCTCGCTGCTATATACTGTGATTCACAAGTGGAATAAGCCACTGTCTCCTGCTTAGAACTCTTCCAAGTGATTGCTCATCCGTTTAAGGTAAAGACCCAGCCCGACTGGGAGCGGAAATTATCCCTATCAGTTTGGAAGCTAGCATCACTATACCCTAAAACTCTTAAGTCATCACACCCACCGAGGGTAAGGACCCAGTCCTTAGTCCTCCGTAGGTACTTGAGGATATTCTTTACCGTAGTCCAGTGTGCCTTGCCAGGATTCCCCTGATACCTACTAACCATGCTCAAGTCAAAAGCTACATCAGGTCGAGTACACATCATACCATACATGATCGAGCCTACTACTGAAGCATAAGGTACTTGACTCATTTCTGCTATCTCAGCCTCGGTACTTGGGCTTTGTGTCTTACTCAATCTGGTGTTACTCTAGATGGGTGACTCTCCTTTCTTGGAGTTCTGCATGCTGAATCTCTTCAACACCTTGTCCAAGTATGTACTTTGACTAAGTCCAATTAGTCTTTTACTCCGGTTTCTCAAAATCCTTATCCCTAGAATATAAGCAGCTTCTCCTAGGTCCTTCATAGAGAAACACTTCCCAAGCCAGGACTTAACTTCCTGCAGAGTTGGGATGTCATTTCCTATGAGTAGCATGTCATCCACATACAATACCAAAAAGCTAACTATACTACCACTAGCCTTGACATACACACAAGATTCATCTTCACTCCTAGAAAAGCCAAATTCCTTGACCTTTTCATCAAAGCAAAGATTCCATCTGCGAGGTCCTTGCTTTAATCAATAAATGGATTTCTCAAGCTTACACACTCTATT